GCTGGAAAAGGATATCATGTTTGGTAAGGTGGAGGGTCAGAGAAAAAGAGGAAGACCCCCAGTGAGATGGACTGGCAAAGTGTCAGCATCAATGGGCTCAAGTGTGACAACAATTGTGAGGTTGGCCCAGGACCGGGCAGTGTTTTGTTTTGTTGTACATAGGGTCGCTATGAGTCAGTACTGACTCGATGGCACCTAACAACAACAACAATGTGAGGGTTGGACCTGCTTCTCTTTGGTGGGGCATGTGATGTTAGCTGGTATTGGTGATGTTGCCACTCACAAACTGCTTTTCCAGGTTTGCGATGGTCATTCTGGAACAACAGTTCAACTCTTTGCGATGGTAAGTTTTGAAAAGAACTGCTCACAGCAGTAAGTTGTCTTGAACACAGATGCACATTTCAATGCATGTCTCCTCCAAGTGGGCAATTCATCACTGCTTATATAACATTTACAGAACTCAAACAGTGGGAAGTGACTGTACCTAGCTTTCAGCTCATCATCACTTTGCCGCTGAATGGTTTTTTGTAGATTATCAGGCACACCAGCTGGTTTCACATTAAATGGTGTGACATAGATGTTCAATTCCATTTGTTTACTTTCCACATCCTTGGATCTTCCATTAAATGCCTCAATTCGCTTCACACATTAACCAGCATATTCAAATGTTGTAGAAGACTTTTGTCCTTCCAGAGTGAGGAAATGCACCCTGTTATTCCTTTTGATTTGAACTTTCCACAGCCTTAATTTAGATTTTGCATTTGAAGGCAGGATGCTGAGAAGCTGACTGAGGCCCTGCAGCTTGATGTTCAGCTCTGAGAGGTACTTGGTAAGGTCCACCATGAAGGCTAGATCACACAGCCACTCACTCTCACTGAGTTCCCTGGGAACTCAAACATTAAGGGTTTCCCTTCATCAAGCCATGAACTGCTTGACTTCATCCTGCAGTTGGTAAAACCTCATGAGCATGTTCCCATGACTCAGCCACAGCACTTCACAGTGCTAAACAAGATCACCGTACTCAGTGACAAGATTATTCAGTAATCCTTTAAATTGGCAGCTGTTAAACCCTCTACTTTTGATAAAATTTATGCATGACATTACGATCGGCATCACATTGTTGAGCTGCAATGAGTGTACAGAGACTTCCTTGGTGTCTGATGCAGTGGCATATAATTAAATCACTTGGATCAAGACTGAGACGATTCAGTTCTTTCTTTTTTTAAAAAGTTTTTATTGTGAATTATGTGTTAGTTTACATGGGTGAACATTATATTTTACATTCATCATATTTTGTTTCATTGTAATGATCACAATCCCCTGCATGCATCATCAAGTAATCAAAGGGTACTCTCCACATACCTGCCCCTGGCAGCCAGCACACAGCCCCTCTACCCCTCTGAGTCCAGAGTCCCCAGCCACTCCTTCTGTCCACGTTATCATCTCTGCTTCCATCCCTAGTGTTCTAGCCCCATTTTAGGTATTCCAGTCAGTTATAGGCTGAAGATGGATTTACAAGCTTTCTCTGGTGATGTTTCTGGCTATTCCTCTTTCTCCCCTTCAAGTGTCTATTTTACAATAGTAGGCAAGGGAAACTAAGATTCAACAGACAGCCAAGCATCTTAACATCATTTTCCCACTTTTACCTATTCAAGCCATGCCTCAATCTTTGTATCCACGGGCCCTGTTGTTTCACGATTGTGCTTACATCATTATTTATCTCTGTCCTATTTAGTCCATGTAAACCTGCCTAGCTATTCTCCCTTCTGCCTTGTTTTTCCTTTCCCCTTCCCCATCTAGTGTATACCTCCTCCAAGTACCCAAACTATTCTGTGTCTATTCCCTACCCTGTGCTCCAGTGTCTTGTCCCTATTCCCTACCCTGTGCTCGGCCTTCTCATCCCTTCCCTCACCCCACCCCATATACCCCAGTAACCAACAGCAAAAAAAAAAAATAATAATAATAAATCCTTTTCTCCCTTTTAGTGTGGGTACTTTTCCTTAATTTTTCACAATAATGGTCCTATGCCGTATTTCTCCTTTTGTGACTGACTAATTTCACTCAGCATAATGTCCTCAAGGTGTACATGTTATGCGGTGGCTTGCAGCTTCCTTGTTATTCTTCAGGGTAGCATAATAATCCATTGTTTGTGTGTAGCAAAGTTTGTTTATCCATTCTTCCATTGATGGGCACTTAGGCTGT